TCCAACAAATACCGAATAACAGATCCAATTCAGGTTAAACTAACAGACGAAGAAAAATAACAGTATACAATATAATAATTGCTTAATTTCAGTGACAAGGGTATGTATACCTTTGAAATGAGGAAACCCTAGCTGCTGAGAGGTCGATGGCGATGAAAAAATATCTCGTCTTTGTGAGGAATCGTCAGCTAAATACGAGTGTTTATAATAAATAATAATTGTGGACAACTCACGAGTGATATTCCAAGACTCCCCTCACTTGTGAGCCCTCGCCTATATTTTTCAGCCCACGCTTATAATTAGGCCCGGTAACTTTTTCTTTTCCATAGCAAGTCTCAAATTAGGCCCGCTCTGATACATTTTTCAGACCACGCCTACAATCAGGCCCGGTAATTTTTTTTTCTTCATAGCAAGTCTCAAATTAGGCATGCTCTGATACCATATCAAACCGAGGACAAAACGAGTGCGGTCCCACACATGTGAAGTGCACCATATGAGGGTTAGCCCAAATGAAACTCAAGTGAGGTTTCATCCCAAAATCAATTGGTGATGGGATGAGTAGTCCACTAGACTTATAAACTAGACTCATTTATCTTATCAAATCATTGTGGGACAACTCACAAGTGATATTCCAATAATGAAGAGTAAAATAAATTGGTCCGCCAGGAAAAAGATCAAAATAGTTGAGTTTTGTCGAGTCGGATCGACCTTCTTCGGGCCTAAGTCAACTGTTGCAGTGTAAAAAACATACCTGGGCCCACCCAATGTCCTCAAACATCGCCAATGGATAATAATGACTCGAGTAGTATAACACACGTGAATTATGCGGGTACTTGTTAGAAATTATTTTTAAATTTTAAAATTAATGAAAAAATTTGTTTTACATTTTTTTTAATTTTTTACAAAAAATATATATTATTATATATTTTAGAATAATATTTGTACCTTGTGCGACTTACGTGTGTTTATAGTAATTTTTATAATATCATATAACTACTTGAAATATAAATATATTAATTGATAAATAATTTTATTTTTCTAATTAATATTAAAAAAACAATTTTATTATTATTGAGTAATAACGTTGAGATTTTTTATATTAAAAAACAATTTTATATGTTTGTAACACAAAAAGCAATTTTATAATATCATATAACAATTTTATGTGTTTATAACTCAAAAATCTCGACGATTTAGGTGGTGATTATAGTTTCAATAGTAAAAAAATTAATTTTTATTTGGTTTATTTTTAACTATAGTTAATTTTGAAAAAATGTGGTGTGGGTAGTTGTTATTGGATATATTAAAATAATAAATAAATAAAATAATTAAACTTGATTTGATGTAAAGTATGATAAAAATGATTGGAAGTGATAGTTAGTTAGAATTATGTGAGTGGATGAATAGTGAATTAAAGTTGATGTGATGTGTAAAAATGATTGGTTGATATTATTTAATTATATTATTAATATTGAAGATAGTGGGGTAGAGTTAAATTTGAGTTTTGATTGGATTTTTTACTATTGAATTTATATACAGTCACACCCTTAACATTCGTCCATGATCACACGTGTAAAGTTTATAACTCAAAAATCTCAACGTTATTATTATCATCATAAATATGTTGTTGAGTATGTGCGTACATACTTGAGCAGAAGTCCTATCTGAGTGGGCGATTGTCTCTGGGTGTCGAATTGTGGTGTGTTGCGGGTGGCCTCGTTTGTGAAGAGGAGGGTGTTTTCTGTTTCTTTGGTGTTTTGTGTTGTTTTATTGGTGTTTTGTGTTATTTTGTTGGTGTTGGTTGTGTGGTGTAGTGTTTCGGTGTTTTGCTAGTTTTGTTGAGTTTATTCTCCTTTGTAGGAGCTAGATTATCTCTAGTGGGATTTGTGAATTATCCCTAGCGGGATTTGTGTAGTCTTTTTAGTTATTGTCTTGTGGGTGAGTTGTGGGTGAGTTAGAGTAGTATGTAGACACCCGTCGCAGTGTTGTCTCTCTAGGTTCAACTAGATGACTGCTTGGCTTATTCTAGTTGTTGTCTAGTTGTATTTGTATTTGTTTGTTTTTTATAAAATCTATCATTTCGAAAAAAAAAAAAAAAGAAAAGTATGTGTAAACATACTTGTTTGTGTTTAGAACTCTCAAAAATGAAAAAATGACAATGAATACAATGAACACGAACTATCTTATATTTTATCTAAAATTATCCCTTTATGTTAAGTTCTCTAATTTTATATGTATTTCAATCAAATGGGTATTTCATAGATGTTCATGAACAACTCCAGGGGGTTTATGCATCAGAAGATACATTCGGTGACGTATCCGATCATTCAAAACTGAGTAGAAACATTTTTTGCATGAGCAAGTACGTCACAGATCGCGTGCTCGTCGCGCCCAACTGGTTGGTGGATACAAGCGTTGCGCCCGCGTTAGGGCATGGCAAGCGCCTGCGCGCCCGAATCTGGCTCGTTCGGACGAAATCGTGTTCCGTCTTTTTTCTACTCGTCCCTACGAACCATTCTAGAGTTTTAACATGCATATTATATGATTACAGCTCGTTTGACTTATCCAAACAATCATCAAAGACTGAACAATTGCTAGTTCAACAATCTTTAGTTTATATAAACTCAATTTTGAGTTATATAAACTAAAACTCCCCCACATTCAACTATAAAATTAATTTGTAATTCAAACTTATAATTGTTATGAAGATTTTATTATAGTCTTCTTCCACTTATGCCGAATTGACCCTCACAACCATGAATCCACCACCCTTGAAGCATAATTTGTATAGCAATGTATAGCAATAGTGTACTACCATTAAGTATAGTCTATAAACCACACACTATAAGTTTACCATAAAATAACTAGAATAACTAGATCAGTTTATCTAGTAACAGAGTTTGTTATCCTAACAAAGTCACAGTCAATGTCAAACCATCACAACTGCACTAAGTTGCATCAAGTATATATCAATTTTTTGCAGGAGTACAAATTTATACTTTTTATTGCTCTATTCCTTCAAAGCTTGGATCTTCTCCAAAAGGGGCAAGCAGAGATTCCAGAAAATCGTCGTCGTTGTGCTGCTGCAAAATTTTAAGAATGAAACAGTGAAATCAAACAAAGATGAAACAAGTACATTACACATAATAAAAAGACTGATAAAAAAAACATGCCTCCATGGGTGATGCTTGGGTTCTATTATGGAGCTGAGAAGAAGTGTTCAATCCCGTAAAGTTTGTTAAACTTTCACAGACTTGCTGCTGTCATCACATATTCGCCACAGGGTAGATGATGTATAAGGATAAGAATCAAATAGATTCAAAAACTACATTCAGTATCAAGAAAAAACATGATATATATATATATAAATATACCTCATTTGGTGGTGCAAGTATTGGTTCATTTAGTTGAGAAGAGGTGCTACATTCCTGAAAAGAAAAAAATATCAGCATTGCAAAATTCGAGACTTCGATTCGAAATACTAGTTAAGTTGACTTAATCTGTCAAGTTACTTAATTAGGATGGAATAATACTTGCCTGGTTAGGAGGTAGATCAAAAGATGGAACATAACTTTCCCACTGACCTATGTCGCCATAAATATTACAAGTCGTAAGAGTTTCACCCTCGTTCGGCTGCAAAATGTAACAACAGAAAGGAAATCAAGTGTGTTTTTTATTCGAGCAAATCGACCTATAAAAGTTAACAGTACATAAAGAGATAACACGTACCTGCAGATTCGGAACATGCGCGTGATCTTCCAAAGTCGAGCCAAAATCAGGTTGAGACATATAGAAAAATGGACTATAAGGTGACTCTAGTATTCCCACTCTAGAATGCATATGTATATTTTCGGACAGTTGTGTAGAATCATTATTATTATTATTGTCATCCACGTCTTCTGTATTATTATTATCGTTCAATGTTTGAACAATGCCACCTCCTCCAATGTTAAACCGTTCGCCGCCCAAATTTATAGCATAACTCGAATTCGAATTCAAGCCTTCGCATTCCTCACGAGGACCTGGTTCTCCGTGGTGTTCCACATTCGCTATGTTGTACCCTACATAGTTTGTAGGGTGCACTAAATTCGGGTAGTTTGTGTCGGGGTTTAAAGTGGCCGAAAGGGCACTCGAGAGATCCTCCATTGTTATATTGGGAGTGAGTAGACTATTGTGGATATACGGACGATCGACATTGTGATTGATGAGGTCAGCATTGCCGATGTTTAGTCTTAGGTTGTTGGTAAGAAACCGTGATTGTCCGAGTCCGAACGAAGCTTCGGAATTTGGGGACAGGGGAGAAGGAATATATAATTGTGGGGGCTTTTGGTAAGGGAAATTGTTGAGTCCATTGAGGATTAGAGTTGAAGGGGTTGCTGTTGATGATGATGGTTCAATGTTTGATTTGAGTAAGTTTCTATTTAAAATTTTGTTATCAGGGGAATATTGGATTTTGTAGCTTGCATCTGAGACCCTCCTTAGGAAAATCCTGTATTTCTGCATATTTTCAATGAAGGACAGAAATTATGAAAATTACATAACATTTTCCCATTAATATGTTATTATCTTTAATGACATAATTAAACTTTTTTTGAGTAAAGAAAGAACACCATACCTGCAGATGACTTGCTACATTTTCTCTAGTTAACCCAGGGACATTCATCACTTCAAGAATTTTCTTTGGAACAGCTCCTACATTAAATTTACAAAAATAATTTAGAAATCAACCGAACCGATCAAACGTGAAATTTAAGCAACTACAAGGTAAATGCATGTTTACTATCAAGGCCAATGCTCCGGATAGCCTCCAAGAAACGGTTGTGTAGCGAATTAGTCCAAATAATCTTCGGCCTCTTTTGCGAATTTGCGCATTGAGAAGTAGTTTCTCCCTTTTTTTCGTCCGAGCCATCATTCCTAGGAGATTTTCTCTTCGAGTCCTTACTAGTCGCACTATCGTCAGATACGGATATCGTGAGATCATCGTTACGAATCCTTTTTTTTCTCGTCTGGTAATTACTTTCATCTTCTTCATTCTCCTCCTCCTCCTCGATCACAACTTGGCTCTTCTTGTTCATGGCCGCGAATTGCCATAAATCCCTTACGTCATCCGGAGATACGGGCTTGTATATGAAAAATGCAGCTCCGTTTTCCAGGCCCTTTAAGGCAGTACCCTCTTTATCATCAGCCGACATCACTGTTTCAATAACAATAAAAATAATACCAGAAACTAACACAAATGATAAGTTTTTATTATGAGTTAGAAGTTGGAAGTTAACTCACAAACTACAGGGAGATTGAATTCTTGAGCAATGGCTTGTTGTAATTGAAATCCGTTCATATCCGGCATGTGTACATCAGACACGACAAGGTCGAACGCTCCACCCTTTAATCGGAGGGTGCACAAAGCATCGTTCGCGTGTTTGACCGTCACAACTGAAATCGATAAACCGAACAACGTTAATTACTAGAGAACATACGCAAATTCGCTATTTTTTTTTTTTTAGATATAACTAAATGCAGTTCATTTTTGGGATTTGATATGGTATGATTTGTTCAATCTAAGACATGCATTAACCATGAAGTTAAACAACATTCAAATTGTTTCCATGATTATTTTATGGACTCTGGATTATTGATTAGGCCAATGCATGTATCTAGAAATGTTATTTAACAGAAAATAAAAATAAAAAAAGGTATAATTAATTAATAACTGTAGAAAGTATAAGGAACACTCAAAACACAAACATGGAGAAACAAAGCTTATTGATAATTATAACACTTCAATTCTATATTATATATTTTTTTATATCAAAATTGTTTTTGCTTTAATTTTCCACACTTCTCTTATTGGCTTAACACAACAAAGGGTCTTCTCCAAGGGGATAGCAAAAGAAAAACAGGGGAAAAAAAAAATCCATGAACAAATAAAGCTAAATAAATCCCTCAAAAAGAAACACATATTATATAGAGTTGCCATGCAAAATCTTGAAATCACAAAAATTAAATTAATGAAATAAGTAAATCACAAAGCATAATGAAATAAGTAAATCACAAAGCATATTGTTATTAATTAAGTCCCATGCATATTATTATAGGGGAAATGCTACGATCCCGTTACGGAAGTATTCCGTCGGGGTTTGTAACCATTAGATCATCATATAACCGTCGGTAATAGTTGATCTAACGGTTACAAACCCTGACGAAATGGTTCCGTAACGGGACCGTAGCATCTCCCATTATTATAGATAAAATGTACCTTCGTATTTGAACTTCTTGAGTATGGCTGCAACAATGGCAAGGCACGTTGTGTCATCGTCTACAAGCAAAATATTAATGGCATCCACCGATTTTTTCAACTCATGAGGACATGAGTTGCTTAAAGGCTGTATACTTTCACTTTCCATTGCTTTTTTTCTTTTTTCTTTTTTTATGGTCAACAGGGGTTGACAAATTGCTCAGGATAGAGAAAAAGGTGACACAAGAAAATGTTTGTACTAAGAAAATTAATTTATAGACTCTGACCCCTTTTTTTTTTAATTTTATTATTTAATTTTTATGTAATTGTTATTTTCACACTGTGTGTAGTTGGCACTTTAATTTTTAATGGTGTTATTAGTGTATAAGATCTGAGACAAAAATCAAACATTGAAAGCAAATTACCTTATAATTACATGTATTTATGTAGACATTTTTTTCGGACGATTTGGGGAAATATAATGGAGTTTAACATTATACCTTTCCAGAATATTTCTTCGCATATTAGAAAAATGTTATAATATATCATAAATTGATTTCCTTTGGGACAAAATCATGTGTGTTTTTTTTTAATTTAATGGCCGCCCATTTCATTGTTAGTTGTGTATTAGGATATATAACATATAATGTGCTACTCATAAAGATAAATATAAATGTATATTATAATTATAAAATTAATAATGAATTGCTAGTTATGGTTAATTATAAGTTTTCATATCAAAGTTTTTTAAATTTATGTAGTAATATGATGTTCTAACCAATGTGAAATGTATACATTCTAGAAAAAGGGACTTTGATCGTACAATTAGTTTGTCAATAGTACAAATTTTTTTTTTTTTTTTTGTTGATGGGAGTTATTACATATTGACAAAATCACAAAATATATGAGTTAAGCAACTACCTTTACTTCAATTTTCTCATATCATCTCTTGGAAAGGCGTGGCTTTCTTAGGAAATGCTACAGTCTCATTACGAAACCTTTTCGTCAAGATTTGTAACCGTTAGATTATCATGTAATCGTCGTGGATAGTTGATCTGACAGTTACAAACCCCGACTGAATGGTTCCGTAACGGAACCGTATAATTTAATTTGGTACAAGAAATTTCACACGGAATTTAATAGTTCGTGATTTCTCATTTAGATTTAAAATAGAATATAAACATTATTGACAATCTTTATTATTTAATGTTTTGTTCTCACGTAAATTAAGTATTTTACGACGTAATATTTATGAATAATTCTGATGCGTATTATTATTTATCGAATGTACGGAAGGGGAAATAGGGGCAACCGAAAAAAATGAACGAAAACGAACAATAAGGTTGGAAAATATTAGTGTATTATTTTCTAAATTTATTTATTAAATTCTATATTTGTGCAGAATAAATATTTTATTGATATAATAATAGGGGGACAAAACCGAAATTAATATGAGCCTATCTGATTATTACCAAATAACTATAGATAACTAGATCTGTAATTTCAGACAATGTTGTTAGTAAATTCATATTTTTCACAATGCTGGTATCATCCTTATCCCCAATATTACAACAACAAATGAGGATTTAAAAGGAAAGAGGAAAGGACAAAAAA